GTGGTATAAATGTCGTGTGAGTTAAAAGACCCAAGAATCAAGAACTGGTGTTATAAATGTCGAATGAGTCCAAAGACCTGAGAACCAGGAGCCAGAGGTGTGTAAGGGTCACGTGAGTCCAAAGGCCCGAGAACTGGGAGCACCATTGTCTGAGGGCAGGAGAAGATGGACATCCCAGTCAAGCAAAGAGAGCATATTTGCCCTTTCTATGCGTTTCTGTTGTATTCAGGCCCTCAGTGAATAGGAGGATGTCCACCTTCATTGGGGAAGGTAATCTTTAGTCAGTCTACTGATTTAAAGGCTAATCTCTTCCTGAAACACCCTTACAGACACACCCAGAGGTAATGTTTTACCAGTGATCTGGGTCTCTTAGCTCAGTTGACAGGTAAAATTAACCATCCCAAATCCACACCTTGTCAACTTGGCACTCATACACATTACCTCAAACCATATTAATCTCCAAATAAGGACAACAATGAGGTCTTAATTCCAACTATCTTGATATGACTATCCCACATACAACTGCAATTCACAATCTCTTCCCAGAAGAGGAAGTAAGGTCCTAAGTTATGTATACTTTTCTCATACCCCGAAAGGTAGAGACTGTGGTATAAAATTAACAGGACCTAAATACTGATACAAAATGTTTATACATATGTTATATGTTAAGGGAATAAGAGAGGAAAGAAAATGAAGATATTTGCCTAATATATGTATGTATATATACAACATATTTTATCATAACAAAATAAGGAAGAGATACTCATGACATTTACAGTCTTGCATCTGTAACTGGTTGTGCAGTCACAGCTGGTATTTTCAGTCACCCTCTTCCATCACCCATTCTGGCTACCTTTGCCTTCAGCAATTACCTAATTCTTCATCTTTTAGGGTGACCCAGGCCTTCATTCCTGAGGAGTCTGAACCCATTCTTAGACCTGTCTGGATTGGGTTGTGTTTTTCTGTTGACTGCAATCACAAAGTGTGATCATGCATGAGAGACATCCTAAGGGATGTTCTATATCCCAGACTCTTCCTTACCTCCATTCTAGAGTAGTAGGCCAGTCTCCCTTCGGTGGCCTGGATCAATCATCTCAACCAACAACGTAACACCTTGCTTGGCCGGTTGACTCAGAGTCATGAGGAGCCCAAAGAGTCCAGGTGGCATCTTCATTTCCAGTTCAGTGGAACCATTGTATCTCCTGGTGGCAGTGTTCCTGCATCTGGAAGGAACTGAGACCATGATAGCAGAGCATAAAAGAACAGGAAGCAGAAACTCCCCTAGTGGGATACTGGGGGGATGGTAAGTAGTGCCACTCTCATTTCTACTCCCTGATTCCTGGATCCATGGATCCTGGGATGGGAGAAACAGTACCATGTATTAGAAGCTCCTTAGAGCAGATGCACCCCTCGGGAAAGGCTTGCCCACCCCTGCAAGGTGTTACCTAACTGGCAGTGTAACTGGACTTCAGAAGGCTGCACCACTGTTCTGTCAAGCCAGCAACTTCTGGATAGTGGGAATGTGCTAAAGCCATGAATTCCAGGAGCATGGGCCCACTGCTGCATTTCTTTGGCTGCAAAGTGAGTTTCTTGATCAGAAACAATGCTATTTGGAAACCATATGGTGGATAAGGTGTTCTGTCAGGTTTTAAACCCGACATGTAACTGCTACGAGACATTGGACCATTTTGCTGAAATGACATAGAAGCGGACCCAAAATAACCTGAAATTTATTTATAAAAAATTGTGTATTCTTTCTTTCTTTTTTTTGAGTTGGAGTCTAACTCTGTTGCCCAGACTGTAGTGCACTGGCATGCTCATGGCCACCCCAGTGTTGACCTGCTTGGGCTCCGGCAATCCTTTTGCTTCAGCCTTCCAAGTTGCAAGAACTACAGTTGTGTGCTACCGCGTCCAGCTAATTTTTTTTTTTTTTATCGTAGAGACTCACCAAGTTGTCCAGACTGGTCTCGAACCCGCGGGCTCAAGCAATCCACTCGCCTTGACTCCCACAAAGTGCTGGGATTACAGGCTGAGTCACCGAGCCCGGAGTATATTTATTCTTACATGTTTAAACTTCAGTCACTTTCAAAGTACTCACTGTTTGATGCAGTGCACCTATTGAGATGCTTTCTCCACTGCTCAAAACAGTTTCTGAACTTACCTACCTTGATGTCTTTCAGTGCTAATGTCATTTTTTGTTTCACTTCTTTCACATTGGCAAAATGTTTCCCTTTGAGGACTTTTTAAATCTGGGGAAACAAAAAAAAAGTCACTTAGGGCGAGATCAGGTGAATAGAGAGGGTAGGACATGGAGGTCATGCCGTTTTTGGTCAAAAACTGCTGAACACTCAAGTATGGTGTGGGCAGGTGTGTTGTCATGGTGAAAGAACCAGTCACCTGTTTGCCACCACTCTGAATGTTCCTTCTGCAATGCAACCTCGCACAACAATGCTAGCTGGTACACCCATGCCATCAGATTCCTAGAACACTTACCTAGAGGGGAAAGACTATACTACAAGGGGCCCACTCGCAAAAGATAATTCTGGGTTTTTTGGTTTTTTTGAATTGGAGTCTCACTCTGTCACCCAGACTGGAGTGCAGTGGCCGGGAGCGGCCTTGACTGCAGCCTTGACCTGCTGGGCTCCGGAGATCCTTCCGCCTCAGCCTTCCAAGTAGCTGGAACTACAGGCACGCACTACCACACCCAGCTAATTTTTTGATTTATTGTAGAGATGAGGTCTCGCCAAGTTGCCCAGACGGGTCTGGTTTTTTTTTTTTTTTTTTAATCCCTCCTCATAAGTATGAGTCCTTTAGTTCATCTTATTGTTCAGTTTAAAGATGAATAGTCTCCCAGTTACATTATTTTTAGTTCATCTATTAGATACATTTATACCTTTAAATTAAAAAAATTGTATTGTTCTTCCACTTAAAACACTTTTATTGCAAGACAAATATACTCACAGAAAATGCACAAAACATAAATGTACACTTTAATTATGAAGCAAATATATGTGTGACCACCACTCACTTACAAACACCCCATTGCCACCCCTCAGAGGCATCATCCTGCCATGCTCCCACTGCCACTTCCCCTTGCAAAGTGTCCTCTCTCCTACCCTCAGGATTTGGTGTTCTTGCTTTTCTTTATGGTTTATATCAAGCATGTCCAACCTGCTAATAATGCAGCCCCACAAAATCTTTTAACATCATGTATTTTTTAGCATTTATTTTCTTTGTGACTCCATACATTAGTTTCATTTTGAATTTGCAAGGTGATACTATGCTTGAAATGAAACTTAAATTATATCAGGCTCAAATTGTGTTACATTGGCTAAATGCAGTCCTGTGAACTGCCAAAAACATGCAACTTTGCTTTCTTTCTTAACACAGGAATTTGAAAGCAGATATCAAGGTTTCTGGCAAAATAATCACTATTTTGCTATATTTTCTATACCATTTTCAGCTGACGTTAATATTTTACCTGCAGATTTTCAAGTGGAATGCATACAGTTGCAATCAGGTATTCAACTGAAAGAAACAACTGGTAATGTCTCTTTATTGGACTTTTATAAGACCTATCTTCCTAGAAAAAAATATCCCTTGCTTTACAATCACACCTTATTCATGACATCGCTTTTTGGCAGCATATACATGTGTGAGCAGCTGTTTTCAATTATGAAACACACCAAGAACAAAATTTGAACAAACATTTCTGACAAGCACCTTGAGAACTCACTGAGAATCGTGACCACTTCCATTAAACCAGACATTGATTGGTTAATTTTACAAAAAACAAGGTCAAATTTTTCACTAGTTTTATATTCTCATTTTTCTAAACTTTATAATTAAAAAGTATATATACTATATTATATAATTTATGTGCAGCCCAAGACAATTCCTTTTTACTCAGTGCGACTCAGGGAAGCCAAAAGTTGGATATCCCTGGTTTACATTTTGTGTGCGTTGTGTAAAAAATGTGGTTAGTTTTGCTCAGTTTTGAATTTAAATGAATGGAATAATACTATGTGTATTCTCTTGTCTTGCTTCTCTCACTCCACGTTAGATTGTGGAATTTATTTATATTGTATGCAACTATAATTTAGTTTTACTGCTGAGTGATATTTGAGAGTAATAACTTATTTATCCCCCTGGTATTCGTGATCATTGGATTGCCTCCTCATTTGAGCAAGCTGCTGTGAACCCTGCTGTTTATGTCTGCGGTTGCATGTGTGCTTATCTGTTTCTTTTGTTGTTGTTATTGTTTTGGGGGGGATTCAACAACTTTATTAAAAGAAAAGTGCAATGGCATTTGCTGATAGCTTAAAAGAAAGGGAAAACTTAGACACCTCCCCTCAAGTGCAGGACCAAGTGCAGGGTAGACTCTTTCTGGATATTGTACTCAGACAGAGTGTGTCCATCTTCCAGCTGTTTCCTCACAAAGATTAACCTCTGCTGGTCAGGAGGGATGCCTTCCTTGTCTTGGATCTTTGCCTTAACATTCCCAATGGTGTCACTGGGCTTGACCTCCAGTGCGATGGTCTTACAAGTCAGGGTCTTCACGAAGATCTGCAGCTCAGATGGAGCACCAGGTGCAGAGTAGACTCTTTCTTGGTGTTGTAGTCAGACAGGGTGTGCATGTCTGTTTCTACCCATGCAGTGAAACCATGGGGTCTTAGGAAGTGCATCTTCAGCTGTGCTGGGTGTTGCCAGACTGTATCTCAGAACCATGGTGTCAGTCCTCATAGCATCCAGAAGTGTTTGGGCATTCTGGGTATTCCACCTCATCAGTTACACGTGGGACTGTCAGTTCCCTGTTTTTCCCACTCTGTTGTATAAGTGGTTGCTTCTCCCCAATGGCTGAAGAGGTGTATGACCCACTGGAAGTCCTCTTGTCTGAATGGCCTGTCCGAGACTCCTGCCTGTTTTGCTGCTGGGTTGTATATCTTCTTGTGTATTTGTGAGAATTTCTTTCTGAGTGTAAAATGTGCTCTTTGCTACAGGACGATGTGATGATGCCTCAGAGGGTGAGGCTGCAGTATGAAGCTGCCCTTCAGCACCCGACAAGTGTGAGTACTCCTCTCTTTTCTATACTAGTGCCACCTTCTCATGAAATCAGCACTGTGGTTTTTTAAGTAAGGACTTTTCCCAGGGTGAAAAGCATCAGTTTATGGTAGGCCTGCCACATCACAGAGAGTGACTTGTGGCTGGTGTATCTCTAAACATGTGAGGATGTCTTCCTTTGAAGAAAAATATGCTTCTTATTTTGGATGCACGTGTTATTTTCAAAGGGTTTTGTTTGTTTTTAATCAGCATTTTAGAAGCTGAGCACTTTAGACATGAAAACACAGGTTGAGAGCTATAGTGTGTTAGCAGTTTTAGAACATACTTTTTCTTATTTAGATTTCCACAAATTATGGTGCTCATCTTTACAATGGCCTCACAGCTGCCCCCACAGAGCCCTTCCTCCTGAACAAGGTTTCTCTGAGGGCTCCCCACATGACAAGGAGGACACAGATGAAGGAGTAACAGGGTCAGGGGTCCCCGGGACTGGCATCCTGACCACTCTGTGGTTCAGAAAAGGTGACTCTGTCCTTAGACATCCACTAAAGTTTTGGAAGAAATCTTTGAATTCCAGTGGTGATCACTTGGTTTCAGATACTGAAAGATCTATAACTTGGGTCAGCGTAGTGGTGTCTGTCTTTCAGGTGTACCTGAGGACAGATCCCTCTACCCCTCCTCCTGGTGGAGTGCTGTGCATCACGACCACATGTGTGTACCAGTCACAGCACAGAACAGAACAGTCATGGCATGATCTGATCATGGTGGGATCCAGTCCTACACAGTGTTGGCACCCCAGCTGACCACAGAGCAGATGCTGGTGACGAGTTAGTTCATCGTGTGGGTTTTCTAATAGAAATAGCTCCTAAGATGTAGTTTCTTGAGGTACAATCACCAGGATGATCCATTTCTCCTCTAGTAGGTTTTGTTTGGGCACTCTGAATTTAGCCCACCTATTTTATACTTTGAAGAAATTCCACACTGTGTACCTCTCTCTCTAGCCCCCAGTACAAGAATCTCTCAGGACTCAGGTTGCTGCCTGCCTGCTGTGCACAAACACAAGCCTGTCCTCCTCAGGGTCTTGTGTGGTCTCCCTTTCCATGGGACAGGTGACACTTCGCCAGCTGGAGTTCCATGCTGAGAATGCTTCCTTTCTGGATTGTAGTTGTACAGAGAGCAGTGGAGTACTTGGGGCATAAATGAGGGCTAGACCAGCATGCTGGGGGTATAGAGAAACAGCTGGCTGCACGGAGGTGTGTCTCAGGTGTGTGTGTTCCGGGTGTGTACGTCCCATGTGTGTTTCAAGTGTGTATCAGGTATGTGTGTCTCAGGTGTATGAGTTAGGTTTGTGTGTCAGGTGCTTGTGTCTCAGGTATGTGTCTCAGATGTGTGTATCAGATGTGTGTGTTGAGTGTGTCTCAGGTGTATGTCAGGTATGTGTTGCGTGTGTATCTCAGGCGTGTGTGTGTCCTAGGTGTTTATCCCAGTTATGTGTCTCAGGTGTGTTTCAGATGTGTCTCAGGTGTGTGTCAGGTGTGGATGTTGGGTGTTGAGTGTGTTTCTCAGATGTGTGTGTCCCAGATGTGTGTGTTCTGTGTATGTGTCAGGTATGTGTCTCAGATGTTTGTCTCAGGTGTGTGTCCCAGGCATGTGTGTCAGATGTGTCTCAGGTATGTGTCCCATGTGTGTGTGTTCCATGAGGGTGTGTCAGGTAGGTGTGTCCCAGGGATGTCTCAGGTGTGTGTGTGTCAGGTGCTTGTCCCAGGTGTGTTGGGTATGTGTCCAGGTGTGTGTGTCACATGTGTGTGTCAGGGGTGTGTCTCAGACTGAAACACAGACCACCTTCTCAAATGCAGAAGGGTCCATGTGGCTGCCTCTGTCGGAGTGTGCAGGATCCTGGGGAACTCGCTGGCCTCAGAGTGACTGCAGGGGCTTACAAGATGGGGAAATGTGTTTTCATTGAGGGCAGGAGAAAGCTCTGTGGCTTGTACCTGATTCTTAAAAGGGTCATAAGCCAACAAAGTATAGGAACCACAGACATTGTCAATGTGTGTATTCATAGCAATTGGTTACCACAGGCTCCAGAAGATGATTGCTAAAAGTTTACAGGTGTGGACTATTCCATTTTGTACCCTCTTCATTGGAAAAGATGTCAGAGAGCATCTGCATGTTGGACCAGTCCCTAACTGTAGTGTCCCCGAGGCAGCTCCTCCAGCTCTGAGCAGGGCCTGCCACCATCATAGGAATTTCTACTCAGCCTCCAGAGATGTAGGTTGGATTTGTGAGTCACATGAAAAGAGAGAGCAGACTCACAACCTACATTTGCTGGGAAGAGAAGAAAAAAAATGGAAACGAAGTCCTCTGGGTGGATTTCTGTGGGCATTTTAAGTAAGGGAAGTACAGAGTCTGGGATCTCCAGAAACTCCTTTCATTGGCTGAGAGGCACGATTCATATGTAGAAGGCGAGAAGAAAGGGGCAGCAGATGCTGGGGATGCGCTGTACTTGACTGCTGGGTTCCTCACTTAGAGCAGGTCTCTGCGTTCGTCTGTTCTGAAGACCAAAATTATGTGCAGCAAACCCCATCCCAGTCTGTGAGGTAGAAATGTGCTTTTGTGTAATTGGAGTGACTTGGCCTTTCATGAGATGCCACATCTTTCACTCGGAGTGGTTTTTACGCAGCTACAATGACAGTTTCCAAGTATTTAGAATATACTATTGCACACCTCTGAAGAACTCTGTAATGAGTGTTGATACTTTGGAACGAGAGATACTTTCAGATGTGTTTTCATTTCTGTATCTTTTATTTCCATCCTGAAAAAAATCAAGCTGATTGGCTTCATTCCTGAAATTGCTTTTGGCAGTTCTCCATGGCAAAGGTTCAGATGAACTGGGATGTTTAGGGGATACACAGGAATTTAGAAGAAATGCCAACTGTGTCAGTTTGTCTCAGTCTTAATAAAACAACCTTGATTTGCATTTTTATAGTTTTTTAAAGTTCTAGATTATAACTGTTATTGCTAACCCCCTTATTAAGCTCTCTAGATAGTCTGTTGTGACAGGAGAGGAGCCCTGTTGTTCCCTGTGCCAGCCACATTTTTCTCCCTACCACATGGATAGATGGAGAATTTGTGCATTTCTCCCACATTCAGACTCTTCTGCATGAAAATTAGAGATGTCCTCGTAGTTTTGTTGCACCGAGACAAAGTCAGCTTTAGAAAGGTTGTTATTGTGTGGCTGGACTTTTTAAAAATCATGACCTACAAAAGTCTTAATTTGCAGTTGCTGGTTGGTGGTTGCATCAATTATACAGTGTAGTTTGTTCTGAGAGAATGAAATGAGTGCTGAGTGCAGACTCGTACTTGGTCATTATTTTTGTAAGGCTGTTTACAAGATGCTGTTTAATTAGGAGGAAAGGCCCTCGATGACAGCTCACATAAATCGTGTAGTTGTATGTAAATAAATCACTGCAGAACTTTTGGAATGTTACATTTGGGGCATCATTAGGTAGTTCCAAGTATGATACTTATTCCTATTTATCCACTCATTTTTGGAACATTCAGAGCAGAGGATCAGTTCTGGAGCAGGAGTTGGGTGGAATCAGAGAAGCCTCTGTGTTTGCTTTGGGGGAGGGCTTGAGAGTGACCAAGAAGGAGGGCCTTCTTCTCCAGGGTCCCCAGCTCAAGGGAAAAGAGGAGGGGACTTATGAAATGCATAGTTTCACAAAGACAGAGGTAAGCAGGCAGGAAGAGGAAGGGGAGCCAGTCAAGTCACCCTAGGAGCAGAGGCAATGCAGGACCACATGTGAGCACAAAGGGACTTCTCTCCATCCCTGCAGCCAGTGACAGGTCCAGAAGGAAGGAGGAGTGGCCTGCTGTCAACATCAGAGTCTCCAGTGAGCTCTTGGGGTGGGTGACCTGCAGTGTTCAATATCAGTAATATGAGAAGAGCTGGGTGCACACCTCCCTCAAAACCATCCTCCACAGATGTCTTAATTTTCATCTTACTGATGAGGGAAAGTGAGGGCTTCGTGATGATAGAGGCATCATTCTTTGTCTCTAAACACCCCACACCCTCCAGAACTCTTGTTCTCCCATGAGGTGGGTGCCCTCTACTGCATCCTCCATGAAGTGGGTGCTCCACCCTCACACCCTCAACCCTCACCCTCCTCCCATGAGGCGGGTGCTCCCCCCACTTCTACAGCCTCAAAAATCATCCTCCGTGAGGCAGGTACTCCACCTGCATCTACAGCCTCGACCCTCATCCTCTGGAGTGGGTCACGCCAGGAGGTTATAGGAAGTGAAGTGAAAGAAAGGAGGGATTGTGTTGAGTCTATGTAAGTCACAGCTTGCCTGTGGAATTCTGGGTGGACCCATGTGCCCTCATCCTCTCCTGTCCTATGGCTTCCCCATCACCCTGCAGTCCCAGATGATCCCTTCTACCCCGTGTGCCAACCTACATCACCCTAGACAGCCAGGTCAGCCTACCTTGCCTCCTTCCATTCTGTCCCACAGGGAGGAGCTGCATGTTCCCTGGAATAAGACTTTCTGATATTCTGTTTAAAGAAATCTGTGTTGTGTTCTGCAGCCTTCATCTGAGGAGGTCCTGGGGGGCAGGACTGGGGTTGGCCAGGAGCCCACACCATTTTGCACATGTGGCAAGGTGGCCTGCTGCCTGCCCTCCAGACCATGACAGACTAGTGAGAATTCCCTCAGCAAGTCGGGGTCAGAACAGTCAGCACCCTGGAGGGGGAACTGTGGGGTAACTTCCTGTCTCCTCTCCTCTCCAGGGTATGGAGTGGGTGTGGGATGGTCTGACAGTGTCCTTAGTTCTTGGGGCAGGAACAGCAGGGTCCCATCAGGACTGGGTAACTCGGGGTTTTGCAGGCTGGGGGTTTGGGCTACTGTCCCTTTTTATTCTTCCTCCCCCATTCACCTTCACCACTGCCGCTTAGGAAGGGCAGCTGAGGCCCTGATGTTAGGAACAGGATACGTTGGATGTGGCTGAGAGCAGCCAGAGGGAACAGCTGCCTGGAGTCTCATGAACTCCCAGTGTGTCCAGGGGACCCTGCCACATGCTCATCTGCATCCCAGGGGTTCGTGTCACAAATACTACTGTTTTCTTTTTTTGTTCAGCATAATTTTAAAGCTAGGTCCTCCTGTCTGTGCCTGTAGGGTTTTCTGGGAAGGAGGCCTTCTTGAGGTCCTGCTGTGCCACAGCCTCCTCTGCCTGTGACTACATGGTCTGTTCTTCCTCCCATGCAGAAGCAGTGGAGCCCAGTACCAGGAACGTGTTGCACGGTGTTGCTGAGGCATGTTTTCTCCATCTGCTGCCCATTAAGGGTCTGTCTGTCCCTTTGCTGCTTTCAGGACTTGTCCTCCACACCTACTTCCCAAGAGTCTGCAGGGTGTCCTGATGGGGTCCCCTCAGGCCCTCCACCCGACCTTTCCACCAAGTGCTTATGCAGGGTGTGTGGGCCATGTGATGTGGGGGTCACCTCATGGTCTGAATCCCTTCCTGTGGGAAATGGCTTGACTCTGCTTATGGCAAGCCTCAGCTGGATACCTGGATGGCAGGGCCAGGGTCATCTGGAGGCTCTGGCCCCCACATGTCTGCAGGAGATACTGGCGGGTAGCTGGAGCCCGCAGCATTTCCATACAGTTGCTTGGGCCTCCTCACAGCATGGTGAGGAACAAGTATCCTGACCTTCTGGAAGCTGCATTGCTTTTTATGACCTGCCCTCAGAACATAGTGTCATGGAGCATCACTCTGACCCCAGATTTGAGGGAAGACACCATAGATGCCACCTCTCAGTGGGTTAGGGTTGGGTGGCAGCAAGGGGAGGTGAAGAAGGGGTGTTGTGGGGCCAACTTAGGAAACTCAGTCCATCATAGCCCCCAACCCTCCTTTCTACTCAGGGTCCCTTCCTTCCAACCTTCTGACCTGATGTTGTTTCAGCTAAATTGCTAGATCCTTGTGGCCCCATATAAATGGAGGAAGAGTTCGCACATGCTTGTGGAAATTTGCTCCAGTAACCCAGGCGTCTGCTTTGCTTGTTGGCACAGATACTCTCCAGAGAGCAAGCAGCAAAACCTCTTGAGAACCTTAACCCGGTGGTTCCTCCTAGGAATGTGAAGGAATAGTCAGCCTCCTGGGCTAGCACATGTCTCTTTTCTTCACATCTGTTCATCGAGCACCTACTGTAACCCAGGTATCATGCCACAGAGACTTCAACTCTGAGAACCCCTAGTCCTGCGTAGTGTGAGGTGTGTTGGGTGTCTTCTGCATGCGTCTCTTGTGAGGGGAGAGCATAGCATCGCCTCATGCGGGGAGTATGCAGTCGGTATTGGGTGGAAGGAAGGCTGTAGGGCTGTGGGAAGGAGCAGCTGGCCTCCCTGTGGAATCCACACTCCTCTAACGATCATTTAGGTGCAGTGGCAGCACAAAAAAGGGCTTGGTGCTGTCTTCAGAACAGGTTTAAAGAGACCTTGAGGCCAACATGAAGGTCCCCTCCCCTCTCTCCACTGGTTAACTCAGTGCTCCTGGCTGCAGTTGATTAAAGTCACAGGAATGGTCAACCTCAGGGGCTCGGGTTTCACAGGATCATCCACTGAATCCTTCTTGTCAGAGACCCTACACAGCATGGTTCAAGCTTTCATCAGAAGCATGAGACTGGGAAAGGCTTGGGGTAGATTCTCAGGCACACACATTGGAAGTAGCATAAATTGACTCATACTCTGAAGGAACCTCTCGCACCAGCTGGAAGCAAAGCTCTCAGGAATGGGTGGTGCGCTGACCCTGTCTGTCACCCCATGGCAGCTGCTTGTGACCCCATCATGGCAGGTCTCAGGGTCTTGGTGTTTGTGTATAGCAGTTAAGCCTCTTTTTCCCTGTGTTTGGGAATACCTTTTGACCCAGAGGATTTCTACCTCATGGCTTTTGATCAGTATTTTCCTTTTTTTCCTCAAACTCTTTTCTCTTTAGCAGCCAAACGTGAGCCAGTATAGACAAGACCTGAAAATAGCTGCAATGGGCAGTTTCAGAGTAGTCTTGGTCAGATCAGGTGCAGGGAACCTCCTTCCTGAGCAGGAACATTTCAAAAGCCATCTTAATTCTCAGCTATTTTTAGCATGTGCTTTCAGGAGTGATCTATAAAAGGTTCCCAGATAGAACTCAGCAATATATCAAAGAAATTATATAACTATCACCAGGTGTGTTTTATTCTGGTTAGGAAATGGGCAAAAGATACGAAAAGACTTTTCTCAGACGAGGCTATGCAGATGACAGATAACTACAGGAATGATGCCATTACTAGCCATGAGAAACACATTAAAACCACTGAGAGATCAGAATGGTCAGGATGAAATGGTGACAACAGCAAACACTGGTGAGAATTGAAGAGACTGAGTCGTGCACACATTGCTGGGATGTGAAATGGAGCCACCACTCTGGAAACAGATTGGAAGTTTCTAAAAATTAAACTATTCTGTGACCCAGCAGTTGTGCTCCTGGGTGTTTATCCCAGAGGAATAAACACTTACATTCACACAGAAACCTGCACATGAACGTTTAGTGAATAGTGTACAAACTGCTAATCATAATAGCTCTTCAGCAGGTACTTGGTAAAGCTGGGGTACATACCTTCTGTGGAATATCTTTCAGTCAGAAAAGAAACTAACTTGTTACACACAACAGCCTGATGACTCTCCAGAGAACAGTGGAGTGGGATGGAAGCCGGGCATAGACGACTACAGCCTGCGTGTCCCATGTAACAGTCTTTCATGGCTCTGGTATCCCAGATGAGTGACAGCCCCCGAGAATAAGTGTGGGTGACTGTGGTGGGCATCATGGGGTCCTGTGGCCAGGGACTGACCTGTGGTTTGCATGATGTTATTTCTTTATAACTGCATGTGAAACTGCAATTTTCTCAAAATAAGAAGTTTAATTTTTAAAAAACCAACAGCAAAAAAAAAAAACACAAGCAAGTGAAAGCCTCCCCCAAACTTTTGTTAGTATAATAATGGCATTAATGTAAATTAATCACATTTACATTAATGTGTGTGTTAGAGCAAGACTGCAGATACTCACCTGCCTTGGGGTGACTTGATGTTTTATCATTAGGAGATGTAATCACACTCTTCCCAACTATGAGTACATTTTTGAGATTGCATCCTCAAATTGGTGAGTTGGAGATTGGCCCCACTTCAGCTGGGACTTGTGGCCTTGGGCCCTTGCCATGAGGACAACTGCTCAGGTGGGCTCTGGTTACCCTGGGCCTACACTGCAGGGCAGGCTCTGCTGTCTGCAGATACCTGAGGTGTCCCTCCCCAGCTGGAGGGGAGTTCTCAGCTCCTCATTGTGAGGTGCCTGGCATGAGCCTTTGCGTCCACACTGGATGGGCTTCTCTCCAGGCCCCTGGCCTCTCAGACTGGAGTGTCTCAGGCATGTTTGCCATGAGCAAACAGGACAAGAGTTTGTCTAGACTGTGGGGTGCTACGAGGGCAGGGCAGGAGCAGAACGACTGGGGTGAGTGCCGAAGGGCAGAGGGGAAGTGGAAGGGGAGTGGGCCTGAAGGAGGCAGAGGTGGGACTGAGGACAGAAAGAAGGGTGAGGAAGGCCAGTGAGCTTGTGTGACACCATGCTGAATGGAAGGAACTAGAGAGGCACTGACAGGATGCTTTCTGAAGTGGCCCAGGGAAGGAGTGAAGGAGGCCTCCCCGGAGGAAGTGAGCTACTTGCAAGTTTCTTCTTTATTTAGAAAATTTCTTTCCTGAGGCAGAAGTGAGTATGTTGGGAATTTGCTGCCCGGGCTGTGACAGCCACTTTCTTGCCTCAGCTTTGAGTTATGGTTCAAGAAGCAAGTTCTTGGAAATATTAGGGTGTTTGACCTTGTATGTGGGTCATGTAATTTGAGTGCTTGAAGGGGAAATGTTGTCGGTGACATGTTCTTAATCCAGCCAAGGGCAGCTTTAGCTGTTCACTGCTAAGATGCTCTATTAGGGACTGTGGCTGTCACCCGGAGTTCTTGCCTGGCTTGGAGCTAGAAAAGGTTCTTTCTTCCTCCTTCCCTTGGACTCTGGGTGTTCTGCTTGACCCAACCCAGACTCAACAGATTCAGTTAGTTAGATGTGCCTAAGGCAGCATGTGTGTTTAAGACGGCATGAGTCTTATGTACGGGGGTTGTACACACCTACCCACACAACTTTAATTTATGTTCTTGTGTGTTGTTTTCACAGATCATAGGTTGCCAAGTGAGGAGAGATCCCCCCAACTCCACCGAACGGTACACACGCTGGATCAATGAGCTGACATCAGAGCAGCTTCTGACACAGGTACCATTGCCGTGTCTCTTCCTACCGCACACATGTTTGCTTCTGTCAAATTCCTCTCTGTGACCTGACATCTGCGTCCTGCCTGTGGCCACTTGTGTTTGGTCATGGCCTTGGTCATGGTCTTTGTGCCCTCACTTTGATTCATCCATTGTTGATCAGACAGTGTAGGATGTGGGCTTGAGTGGAAACATACATGCTGGTCCCATCTTCATAGTTCATTCTGATTCAAGTTTTTAACTGGAACCCATGCTGCAGAGCATTATAGGAGCTCTCAGATCCCAAGCCAGCATCTCAGAATTTCTATATACCATGTGTCCCTGATGTGTTCCACAGAGCTGTGGCTGACATGTACATGTGAACAGGCAGCCTCAGCATGGGGATCCTGGAAGTGGACAACAGGGTGGGCCTGCAAGTGGATGGCAGGGTAGCCCTGAAAGTGGACAGCAGGTTGGCACTGGCAGGATGGCCTTTGCAGTGGACAGGAGGGTGGCCTTAGAAGTGGACAGCAGGGCAGCCCCGGCAGTAGACATGCTGGCATGAGACTGAGCCACTGTCTCAGGTTGAGCAGCTCCATTCTGAGAAAGATGGGCATGGCCATTGTCAGATGGATAACTTGTCTGTGCTGCTGGCCCTTCAGGGAGGCAGAGCCTGTCCTGTTGTCAAGTCGTGACCAGCCTTCCCCACACTAATTTGTGGCCAAGGACTGGCATCTGTAGAAGTTTTCTGGCTACGTGTTCCTGATTACTAGGCTGCATGCTGCAAATGTAACGATATGCTTTTCATAAACTCATGAAAATATGTAGAACAGGACCCTCAGGCAGACTGTCCCTGCCCTTCTAAGTACCATATATCTTGTGTAAACTGGAACGTAGCAATCTCACCACACTGCTGTTGTGCTGGTTCTAACTAAGGGAAGCTGGATGCCTGTTCGGTTTCATAGCAGCTTGAGACCCCAGGCAGAAGACTTTTCATCCAGGGTAGTTTTTGTGGGAGGCCACAGCAGTGAACTGCCCCACGTGGGTTCAGTCTCTCCTGGAGTGTCAGGCTTTGTGCTCTCAGATAATTTTTTTATTTTGATGCTTTTTAATTAAAGGAATGAATGTTCGTTCCTTTATCAGTTACATAGCTGTATTCACTTAAACCTATTTAAAAATAGCTTTATATATTTGTAAAGTTATACTTGACTGCTTTATAAAGAAATTCAAGTAATATAAAAAAATCACAGTGAAAAAAGTATGTTGGCTGGGCGCGATGGCTCAGCGCCTATAATCCCAGCATTTTGGGAGGCCGAGGCGAGAGGATTGCCTGAGCCCGGGGGTTAGAGATCAGCCTGGGAACTTGGTGAGACCCCATCTCTATAGTAAAAATCACAAAAACTAGCTGGGCATGGTGGCATGCGTCTGTAGTTACAGCTACTTGGAAGGTTGAGGCGGAAGGATTGCCCAGGCCCAGCAGGTTGAGACTTCAGTGGCCGTGAGCATGCCACTGCACTCCAGCCTGGGCAACAAGATTGAGACTCCAACTCAAAAAAAAGAAAAAAGTATGCTACTCAAACCCACCAGTCACCCCTCAGCTGTCTTGTGCTGCTCACACCCAACACCTAGAGGAGCTCTGTCCTCACCCTCTGCCTTCTGTCACTGTGACTGGTTTATGTTTTCCAGGATCTTGTATAAATGGGGTCCTATACCATAAAGGACATCTACGTTGACCTTAAGGATGTCAAATGTTCCATCCTGGGACTTACTGTTTTGTAAAATTCTGTTTTTCTCCCTGCCTCCCTTCTTCCTCTTCCTTTTTTCTTTCTAGTTTGTTGTTTTCAACTGAGATCTGAAGAAGATTCACACATTACATTTATTGATAATTTCTTTAAATCCATAGATTCACCCTTTATCTTTTTTCTTGAAATATTTTATTGAAGATGTTGGAATAATTGGCCATTTGCTGATTGTATCTCCCGATCTCATTTAACACATTTCTCTTTCCCTGGATTTTCTATAAATTGGTGCTTAGATCTAGAGACTTTATGGAATTTACAGTCATTTGTTCATTTGTCTTCTGTTAGTTTCAAACAGCTTTTTGGGTGTATAGCTGACGTACAGTAAATGGCACCTATTTCATACATATAGTGTGATCAGCTTGACATGTGTCTTTACCCCTATACCACACATCAAAATAGTGAAACACACCCAGCTCCCAAGTCTCTTTTGTCCACCCAGCCCCTCTGACACCAGGTAGCCACCGATCTGCTTCTCTCTGCAGATCAGTTTTCTGTGTTCTAGAGTTTTCTATAAATGGGATCATGTGACATGCACTTTTATGCTCTGGTTGCTTTTGCTCAACATAATTACTTTGAGATCCATCCATGTTGTTTGCTCACAGCAATAGTTACTTTGCTTTTATTTCTGAATAGTACAGTAGACCCTCCAACGCATAGGCTGCATAGTGAACATAGGTTGCATAATTCACTTACATGCAGATTTTTAACCCTTTGCACGAGTGTCCCTTCTAAGGGGACATCTAACAAACCACTCAGATGTCCCCTTTCAGGAGACATAAAGAGATTGCTGGTGATTATACAGGACAAACTTATGCAAGTGCAGAGTTTTCAAAAATGCATGTTTCCTTGAAGTTTTCCATTCAAATTGCATGAAAAAGCAAATAAAATGGTGGACTATATACTGAGATATATGTTAAAAAAAAAAAAAACAGCTGATGTTATGTAGAAAGAGAATGTGTGAAATGCTTTCACAGTGGTGCCTATACTTCTTCCTAACAGAAGGTAGCAATAAAGAGCATTTGTTTAAGAAAGGCAGCTGTGGGTATACCCTTTGTATCATATCTTGAAAAAGCATAACTTGAAAAGGTAGATAAACAAGTTACTGTAACCTTAAAGAAAGATACTGTCTAAGTTGAAGACAGATAGTATTGAAGCATCCAGTGGCACAGATTGAATTTATCTATCTGCACTAAGTCAGAAATTAAAGGGCAAATGTCATTTATAACATATAATCCACATTTATGCACTAGATGATTAAAAAACAGGGTTTCTTTTTTCAGTATTTCCCTACTATGATAGCATAACTTCTGAAAACATCACTTGACCCGATCTTCCAGTAAGCACCAGAATTTTATTTCGTTTATATAAAAAGTTGCTGGAGAAAATTCCCAATGCAGCAGGTTACCACATGCTTACTGACAGATATTATACTATTATTGTTCTAGCAGAAGAGCTACTAAAGATGAAATGTCATCTTACTGGTAAAAAGTCAGCTGAAAGGGACTACCAGCACGAATCAAAAAGCCAAAGTTTTCAATGAAAAAACAGTAGCCTATAGGAAAAATAATCTTATACTTCTTGCATGGAAGGAAAAAAGGCTCGTTATAATTCTTACTTAGCACTTGGAATCATGCAGGAATGAAATCTACCATAGGGACATTACATGGTAGAAATATTATATCAGTCAAAAAGCCTAAAATGATTCTAAATTATATTGCAAATGCAGGGGATCCCCCCAAAAGTATACACATTTTAAGAGATGTTATCCATGTGTTACTTTTGAGATTGAATTGAATTATGGTAGCAATGTGTAGTGTGACGTTCACTTAATAGTGCTTAGGCTATTTTCTTTGACTGTGCTGCCTGTCACATAGTTTCACTGGCATTCATTTGATTAACGCCATCTTTTGAGTGAAGCTCATACTTAAAATGTGTATACTTTTTTTTGGCATTTCCATATTTACAGTATGGATCGTACAGATCAATATGTTTCCACATATTGTTTTGTGCAAAAATCTTTAAAATGATGGAGAAAATTATTCTTCTGGGGACTAGAAATAGGTGTTATTAACTCCTATCTACTGAACCAATCATCAAAAAAAAAAAAAAAAAACTATGTCCCATTTGAAATTTATCAAGCTTCTGTTCAATCAGTTGAGAAGTGATTTTCAGGAATCACGAGTGTATCCTTCGATATCTTTGAGCCCGAGACTAGACAGTAAATTACATATTATTGGGCAACCCCCTTGGGTCCCCTCCTGCTATGGGAGCTTTTCTGTCTTCTCAAGAAATCCTGCTTTCTTTAAAAAAATTTTTTTTAATGAACAAATAAATAGCATATTATTAATGTGGGAGGAAGAAAACGAGATTCATTGTCTGCTCAAATAGAAAAACACTAGGTGAAAGACATCAAACAAATTAATGTTGTACAGCATATGTTCATAAACCTGCAATGCTTGTCGGTGACTGTTTCACATGTTGCCACATGTTAGAAAAATATAAGATATAAAGTTTTGACTTTTTTTTGCCATAAGTAAGTTCCTCAATATCCTACATTCCATTATAAGCCGAATATCATTACAATAAAATAATTGGTTCCAACGCTGTGCTATTTAATATGAAGTGATTTGTATCTCACTATTTCATTAAAAGGTGCAGTTGAGTTGCTGGTAGGTGATCTGGGAGATGTCTCTGAATGTGAGGGTTAAAAATAAGTCGCTTGGAAAATTTTTTGGAGATCTGTGACAACTGGAAAAAAATTGCAAACAAACCACAAAACCTAAAAATACAGAAAAAATTAAAAAGATATTTTATGAATACATAAAAGAGATTCATATGTATATACGAATCTTTTTTATCATCTGCTACCAAAAAGTAAGCACAAATATATTATAAGAAGTTAAAATTTATCAAAACTTGTGCATACAAACACAAACTATCCATGGTTCCTTTCACAGTTGAGAGAAATGTAAACAGACATAAAGCTGCAATATTAAATTGTATCTGCATAAAATTACCTGCAGTTCATACTGCACTACTGTAATAATTTCATAGCCACTTCTTGTTGCTACTCAATGAGCTCAGGTGTTGTGAGTGTCTGCTTAAAATGCCACATGACGCTAATTATCTCCCTTTGAGTAATTCCTCTCCAGTAAATTGTGTATTGCGGTATAAAGAGATCTTTTCAGGTCTCGAATATCTTCTGTTGTATTTAGTGCAGTAC